TGCATTTTGATGACTTTTTTCTAGCCATTTTTAAAGAGAAAACTAGGAACTGAGTATTTTGTGTACGGTATGTGTTCACCTCCACCCCCCTCCCTCCCTCCCTATTTAATCTTCATTTGTCATGAGGTTTTTGGGTTTGAGAACAATCCGCTGGAGATCTGCCCCATGTCATAGAAAATAAAGCTAATGATTGTACCACTCTTAAATTATTCATGATTCAATAAAGTTAATGCTTATTTATTCAGACCCCGTGGTTTGGCTTCCGTGTGTTGGTAGAGATCTGTCTCGTGTTAAGTGCTTGCAAGGAGGTACGTCATTCTTCCCCAGAGGCCATGAACCTGGGGAACCCCAAACCTGTGTCCTCTCCACCTTTGCTGGGAAGTCATCAGGAACCACCTCTCCCCACTCCTCCTGGAAGTCACTGCTGCTCACTGGAGTTTGTTAGAGACACAGCACAGCTCTGCCAACCTTTAAGAGCCAGTGGACCTTCCAGAAATGCTGTTTTTGTACGTTCTCTGTGAACCTCCAGGCTCTTAATCTTTGTTGTTGTTTGAGATTGTGTTTTTTGTTTGGATTTTGCCTTTTTTTTTTTTTAAATAGGGTCTCATGCATCGCAGGCTGGTCTCAAATTCACTATTCAGCTCGGGATAACCTTGAACTTCTAACACCCATGCCTCCATCCTCCTGAGTGCCACAGTTACATATGCATGACCATGCCTGATCCTAGGTGCAACCCAGAGCTCCCTCCGTGCTCTGCAAACTCTTATCCACGAAGCCCCAACTGCAGCTCTGTGGCTTGTCTATGGCTCATTCTTGACTGACGAGCATGGTGTGATTGTTGTCAGTATGGATGCAGAGATCAAGCCAGGGTCTTTCCCCTCCCCTCAGGCCTTGCAGATCTGAGTTTGGTTATGAATCATTTCTCGTTCCTCGGAAGCTGCTGTCTCTGTGCCGTCACGAAATGCCGTTGCTTAGTAACTGTCATCCACCTGCTGTAGCTCCCTTCAGTCTCTGGTAGTCACTCCTCCCTTCCCTGTTAGAGACCAGCTTTTGGAGCTTCTGTATGTGAGATCATACAGTATATATTCGAATCATCTCAAAAAATCTTCCAGCTCCATCAATGTGGCCACTCTTCCGTTTGTTTTTGGCAGGGTCTCGCTGTCCACGGACTGGCCTGTAACTTTCTATAGAGCCCAGGTTGTCACTGACCTCACAGAGATCTGCCTGCCCCTTGTGTCAACAATGTGTATGTACCACCCCACCCAACCATCTCACTCCTTTTTTAGTGGCCGAGTAGCATCTGACTGTCCATACACAAATCTTCATAGCTTTGTTGTCGAGAATGTCAGGCGATGGGAACCGCACCTATCAGAGATCAATCTCATTTCCTTTGGACATAAACCCAGGAGTGGGGTTGCTGGATCCTGTAGTCAATCTGTTTTTCATGACTTTTGTTTATTTTATATATGTGTGTGTTTGCCTGCCTGTGCACCATATGCATGCAGCATCTTCGGAGTCCAGAAGAGGGCGTCAGATTCCCTAGAACTGGAGTTATAGACAGTGTGAGCCACCATGTGGATCCTGAGAATGACACCCAGGTCTTTTTTAAGAGCAGCAAGTACTGAGTGGGTATAGTGGTATGCACCTTTAATCCCAGCTCGTGGGGTACAGAGGCTGGCCTTGATTTCTGAGTTCAAGTCCAGTCTGGTAACAGAGAGAGTTCCGGGACAGCCAGGTCTCTTGGAGAGATGTGTCTCATAAAAACAGAAAAATATAAAAGGCAGCAAGTGTTCTTAGCTATTGAGGCATGTCTCCAGTCCCTGCTTCAGTGTTTTGAGAAACTTCTGTAGTGTTCCCTTATAGCTCTACTGTATATATTCCAGTTGATAATTGTGTAGTCATTTCCTTCTTCACATCTTCACCAGCATTGAACTGGTTTTGTCCTTTTGATAGTATCTGTTATAGCTGGGATATTTGCAACCAGCATCCTGGATGATGTTGAAGCTTGGCTCCCTGGACCACACTCTTAAGTAGCAGACATCCAGTGCCCATCTCTCGCAACATTTTTAAAAGACCAACTTGAGGGCTGGAGAGATGGCTCAGAGGTTAAGAGCATTGCCTGCTCTTCCGAAGGTCCTGAGTTCAATTCCCAGCAACCATATGGTGGTTCACAACCATCTGTAATGGGATCTGGTGCCCTCTTCTGGCCTGCAGGCATACACAGACAGAATATTGTATACATAATAAATAAATAAATAATTTTTTTTTAAAAAGACCAACTTAAGGCAAAAATGTGAAAAGGCAATGCAAGATGGTCAAGGACTTTGCAAAAGGTCTAGAAAAACTGCCCACTCTAAGATGGGCAGTTGTGGCTCACACCTTTAATCCCAGCCCTCGAGAGACAGAGGCTGGTGGATCTCTGAGTTCAAGGCCAGCCTGGTGTACAGAATGAGTTCCAGGACAGCTAGGGCTACTCAGAGAAACCCTGTCTCAAAAAATAAAAACTATACCAAAACAAATGAGCAAATAGTTTAAAAGACTAGAAGACTAGAATAGATAAACCCAACCAACCCAACATATACTCCCTTTACTATGTGGAACGGTGATTGAGTCAGTGACTACAGGCCAGCAGCAGGGAGACACAGCAAAGCACAATGCCCGTGACAGTCACCAGTTCTCCCTGTGAAGCCTGAGTTGGCCTGTTTTCTTTAAAGGCTCAATGTGCCCACCAGCTTGGGAAAGGCCTTCCATACAGAGACTTCTCTGGGCAGTTTCCAGCCATCAACTATTAGTCATTGGTTTGCGCCAACGGTCAGAGGATAAGTGCCTGGGGAAGTAGGAGAAAAGGGACTCACATACCCCTCCACCCGGGGCACTGGTTCATCAAACCTCTGCAAAACTTCCAGTGACGGTGCCTGGAATTCAAATGGCACCGCAGAGGAGACAGGATAGGCACTGCCAGGCTTCTGAGTTTGAAGTCTCACTTGCCACCCTCACGGGGACTGCTGGTTTTAGCAGACCATTGTAAAAGGAACGGCGGACTGCGTTCCGCCTGGATCCTCGGCTAGCTTACCCCTGAAATAATTACACGGAAAACTGTATTCTTTTAAACACTGCTTGGCCCATTAGTTTCAGCCTCTAATTGGCTAACTCTCACATATTGATCTAACCCATTTCTAATAATCTGTGTAGCACCACGAGGTGGTTGGTGGCTTACCGGGAAGGATCTTAACCTACGTCCATGTTGGAGAGGAGAGCCATGGCGTCTGCCTCACTGCCTTCTTCCTCCCAGCCTTCTGTTCTGTTTACTCCACCTACCTAATTTTCTGTTCTATCAAAGGGCCAAGGCAGTTTCTTTATTAACCAATTAAAGTAACACATAGACAGATGACTCTCCTCCATCAGACCAGCATACCAGAAAAGGACCAGGAGGCTCCAGAGTTAATGACCCTGGTTATGACAAAGGGGCAGGAAGCAGGATGCCTGGAACATGGACTCTGGTCCATTTTCGATGTCTGTTTATAAGACTACAGTCCGACAGGGGCAGGGGAAGTCATGTAGGCCCTTCCAGAAGGTGTGGGCTGAGGATCCTAATCAACCCAGGCAGACACAAGAAGTTACAGGAAGGCAAGATTTAATGCAGGGTAGCACAGAAGAAGGGGGAGGGGAAGGAGCTGATCAATCAGCCGCTGCAGAACAGACTCAGGAGCTGAACTGCGCCCCCAAATGTCTATGGTTTAAGAATGAGGTGGGTCAGCTGTTGGAAAGTTCCCAGCTTCCCTAGGGCTTGGGAGCCTGAACGTTGTTTTACCCTGCAGGTAAAATGGAATCTGAAGTCAAAATGGCAACGCTTAGGACAAGGTGCTTTTGCCTGCTCCCCAACACTCCCCGCTTGTCTTTGTAACTAATGAGAAGAATCTTCATCCGGGTTCTTGACTAAGGGCTTGTGCTGTGAGCTTAGAATCATGAGCTGGACGGCATCTGTATGATCTTAAGGACAAAAGTCAAAATTTAGGAGCCTAAAAGAAAACTTTGTATTTGGAACTTTTACTTCTCTGAGTCCATTTGATCCGTGACAGGTGGATTCAAGCCTTTTTGACGCCTGACACTTAGATGAATTTTTAGTTTACCAGAGGAGATAGACATTCTAGATATATTAGCATTTTCATTGTGCTGATATTCATATTTGTAGGAAAAAAGCAGCCAGCAGGTGTCTGTAAAAGAGCTAGACCAGATTTACACCTTGGAGAAAGAACAAAAGCTAGGGCTTTGGGTTAGCGTGATGGCAAACGTCTTTAAGTCTATAGTCAGAAGACAACCAAGGGAAATTTAATAGCTTGTGTTTATGACTGAAGGGTGAGAAGTCGGGGCTCCTGCAGGTTAGCTGTGCCCCTTTTGTTAATGACAAAACCCAGAACCTTTGGAAGTTCCCTGTAACAATAGACTTTTTGTGAAGTCTGCAAGTCACACAGGGTGTATAAGATTAATGTCTAACACCAATTAACCTGTCAGACTTTCGTGTTTCTTTGGCTGCTATGGGAACCTACAGAGAAACATAACCGGAATAAGCTATGGGGCAACCTCTCAAGGTAGCCAGAACAAGCCAGCACCATGCATCTCTGCAGTTCCTTTTCTCTTTCCTATTTTTCTGCATTATCCTTACTAGCATTTGACATTTTATTTTTTATTTAACTATTTTTTTTTAAGTTACAAATGCTTCCTTTATTACATAAAGCCAGCATTGCTACTTCTAAGTTCAGCTGCTTGTGCATCTCTACACTGTGTGGTGTCATGCCTGTGATGTTATCACTTCCAAATGTTGTTAGGCAGTCCCGTGAGTGCCATCCGTGGTACCTTCCCATTTCCCACACAGCTCGTAAACTGCTCTAGGGATCTGCGTCCACCCAGGTCCCAGAGGAAACACACTCAACACTCTTCCACATCCTACTGTACCAGACGCTGCAGGGTTCTGAAGGAGAAATTAAAGATTGACAGCACCCTGACTTTTTAAAATACACTGCTTTATCATTTTTCATTAAAGAAGTAGATTACAATGAAGCCCTAATTTGCAATATAATTGTTACAAGACACTGAACATTCTCCTGAGGATATACCATGATTTAACAAAGTCACTATAAGCAGTTTCCCAGCCCAGGGAGCCTCTCGTTGCAGGTACAGGGCTGCTTCCTGCATTCCAGCACCGTGCTCTGGATGGTGTGCTGCAAGATCAGCGTGAATTCTAAGCAGACACAATTCTGAAGCAGTCTCATGATCTATCTGATGAATGAGGACCGCCTGGCTTAGTTACTGCTGTTAGTGCATATCAGTGTTGTACACACTATAAAGAAAATTATACCTCATTATTTTGTTTAAGTCAAGGAAAAATAGAGAATTTGGATGAAAATTATACATAGATTACAATCAGTTTTCTAAGCAAAGGAAGCAAAAGTAACTGCTGAGGTTAGTGAAGATTTAGAGTTCGCTTCACATTGCCTTGTACTGTTTTGTGAACTGTGTTATTAAAATCCTGAGCTCAACAAAATCTTTGTAAGTCACTTCATGAAAATAGGCATTTGGCCAATAAGAATTTAATTCCACACCAATGAAACTTTAGAGGCTAGATTTATGTAGGTGTTGGTGTTTGCACACATCTATAGAATTTTTAGTTTACTATAAAGATGACAAGACAATTCCCCTCAGTGAGATCCTGGCCTAATATATTTGCTTACTTCTATAGTGAAAGGATAGTGTTAAACATGGAAGCTTTCAATTTGTGGCACTGGCTGATGATCTAAATAGGGGATCCTTCAAAAGCTACAATTAAGGAGCCACCAAGCTTTTCTGCAATACTAGTCCGATTGAGGTCTTCTGGTCCATTTGCTTGATACTCATGCTTTATGCCTTGAAATTTCTTCTTGATGGCGTCCTTTGAGCTCGCATAGATCATTTTGCTTTTCAGAGGCGCATGTTCTGGTGCCCACAAGAAGAACATCAGCTCTTCTTTTCTGGACTCCTTGGTTTCAAAGCTTGTATCATACAAAGCGTAGCGACAATCTTTCTCAGGAAGCATTCCCACAAAATGCTTGAAAGGATCGGTTATGGTGTCACCAACATCTCCAACCAAGATCTCTTTGCCTTCTTCAACAACTATGCACTTTTTGTCTGCACTGAGACAAAAAATGACAGCCTTCTTTCTTTTCTTGATTTCTTCTGGTGTGGAGCATTTCCGAACTTTCATGTCATAGAAAATGCGACATACTTCATCCGCAACCTGAACTCCTGAGGCCATATTCGCCGCGGCGGACTTCGAAACGAGGAACCTGGCGGCAAAGTGTGGGAAGCGTCCTCCGCACAACAGCAGGACCCGGAGAACAAACGCGAGGCCTTAACTATTATTTTTAAAGATTTTTATTTTACTTTTTGTGTATACAGCATTCTGTATGTATGCATGCTTACACACCAGAAGAGGGCATCAGATCTTACTCTAGATGGTTGTGAGCCACCATGTGGTTGCTAGGAATTGAACTCAGGATTTCTGGAAGAGCAGCCAGTGCTCTTGTAACCTCAAAGCCATCCCTACAGCCCGCATTTGACATTTTATATATGAACCAATTTAATTATTATTCTCTTCTCCCTCAGCATCATTAGAAAGTGTATTTTATCAGAGCCAGGAGTAGTAATTATTGAGAACATATGCAAGGTTTGTTTCTTTAATGAAAGGTCACATCTGGAACCTGTTTATTCTTTAATATGAAGCTTGTGAGCAAGGCAAACCTGTTTGCTTTTTCTTAACAATAGACTAGTAGCTTTAACTAACTAATGCACTGATTACTGAACTAACAAGCCTCAAGGGAAGGAGCTGGTTGCCTAGCCAACAAGGCCACAGTTATCTTAGCAGTCAATGTCAGAGATCTGAGGAGGATTAACCAAAATGATGGTCCATACCTAGACAGATATCCCAGGATCCTGTGGTCTCCATGGCAATGAGGGCAGGGGACAGCAGTCTTGGCTGCCAGGTCCAGAGGATGAGAGGTTTTCCTGTGGAGGAGGAATATGAGGAGACGGGACTCACCTTGTCTAGGCAAAGTGGGGCGTCAACTCTCCAGTGTCCTGCTTGTCTGCAGGCTGGGCTGAGCCTTGGCATCAGGTGAGGGGCTGAGGCAGTCTTGCCCAGTGGTCAGCTGTTAGCATTACCATAGTCCAGGTGGAGTTGTCCGTTGCTGTGTCCATTGTCCTCTCAGAGACCTTGGGAGTCACTGTCTATCATACAAGTTTATATATTTTTAAAGGTAGTTGTTTATTAAGCTGCATATCAATTTTATTCAACTAGTAGGCCTACCTACACCTTCATTTACAATATTTTTTATAAAAAATAATGCAAAGAAATAAGTAATATATAACCATGTGTGCTATATTAAAAAGAAAGCTTTTTATTAATCATCTGAAAAATCAAAACTAGCAGGACTATAATAGCTACTCCTGGAAAAATCTTCCCACAACTCTTATTTTAGGGCTCTTTGTAATGTGATAACCCTAAAATTCTTCCACAGAAACTTCAATTTCATTATGATGTTATTTTTCTATAAAACTATATGCACTCTGTAAAGTTATATACTATCATTAGCAAGCTTATCTATGTTGACGTACTTAATTAACATATCTCTGTATACCATAATATTGTTAGTTTAGAAAATCATCTTTTTTGAAAATAAAATTATCTGAAAATTCAGGACAATTTGATAAATTTGTCCAATTTTCACCGTTTTCCATGCCAAAATATGTAGGTATTTGACCCTAACATTGTAGAGAATACTTCCCTTTTGCTTCCATTTAAGGTTTTCCTTTGCTCAGTTTTGTATGAAGACAGACATGTCAGATTTTCTGTGTGTGTCATCACATTTGGTACTTCAAAATCACAAACCTTCTGATTTTCCCCAATTTAAGAAAGAATAGATGATATGTACAAGCAAAGAGAGAACTTCATTAAAATGTCAAAGTCCAGAACTGAGTTATTCTGTACCTTAACTTTAGACAACAGTAACCACGCAAAAGTGGCGTAAGTGGCAAGATAGGACAGCCAAGCCCCTCCCTCTTAGAGAAAGACTGATGATACAAGTTAGAATCACCAGCTGAAACAGCAGCAAAGCAGCTCTAGGGCTAAATAGGAAGGGGAACTGAGGTATACACTGTGGATGGAAATATGAATTAGTTCTTTTTTCAATTGATTATTATTGAGCTCTACATTTTTCTCTGCTCCCCTCTCTGCTTCTCTCCTCCCCTTCAATGCTCTCCCAAGGTCCCCACGCTCCCAATTTACTCAGGAGATCTTTTCTTTTTCTACTTCCCACGTAGATTAGATCCATGTATGTTTCTCTCAGGGTCTTCATTGTTGTCTGGGTTCTCTGGGATTGTGATTTGTAGGCTGGTGTTCTTTGCTTTATGTCTAAAAACCACTTATAAGTAAGTACATATGATAATTGTCTTTCTGGGTCTGGGTCTGTTTTGATTATTATGAGGCAAGGGGACTTTTTTTTTTTTGATCCAGTCTATTTGGTGTTCTGTATACTTCTTGTATCTTCATAGGCATATCTTTCTTTTGGTTGGGAAAATTTTCTTCTATGATTTTGTTAAATATATTTTCTGTACTTTTGAGTTGAACTTCTTTTATACCTATTATTCTTAAGTTTTGTCTTTTCATGGTGTCCCCTATTTTCTGAATATTGTGTGTTAACCTTTTGTTAGATTTAATGTTTTCTTTGACTGATGAGTCTATTTCCTCTATTGTATCTTCAGCACTTGAGATTCTCTCTTCCACCCCTTGTATTCTGCTGCTTATGTTTGCCTTTGTGGTCCCTAATTGTTTTCTTATAATTCCTGTTTCTACAATTCCCTTTGCTTGTATTTTCTTTATTGTCTCTATTTCAGTTTTCACGTTTTGAATAGTTACTTTCATATGTTTGATTGCTTTTTCTTGGTTTTCTTTAACGGGTTTGCTGATGTCTCCCAATTTTTGTTCGTCTTTTCCACCATTTCTTTGAGGGAATTTCTCATTTTCTCTTTAAGAGTCTCAAACATTCTCCTGAAGTTATTTTTTAGGTCATTTTCTTCGCTTCATCTATATTTGGTTGTTCAAGTCTTGCTGTTCTAGGGTCTCTAGATTTTACTGATGTCATGTTGCTCTTTGTGGTGTTGCATATGTTCTTACCTTGTCTACTCATCTTTTCCTCTAACTGGTGTGGTTGGGGCTGTCTGTGACTCTGGTGATTAATCTTCTAGGTGCCAGTGGATCCAAGGCTCAGATGGTTGTTCCTCGTGGTACAGTCAGTGCCACGGTTCTAGTTACCCCGTTGGTCGCTCTGTGTTCCTGGGGGTCACTCAGCTCTCCAGGGGGTTTGCTCTGCTCCTGTGGAGTTTGCTGTCTCAGGGCTGCTCTGATCTAGGTTGCCGGCTCAGACCTGTTTTTGTAAATGTCCCTGGTCTTGATCTGCTCCTGAGGAGGTCCCTGGCTTGGAGTTGGCAGAGGTTTCTGGATCCTGCCCACTTCTTCAGAGGTCCCAGACCAACACCCAGGCTCCCAGAGGTCCTAGCTCAGACCTACTCCCTTAGAGGTTCCAGACTCTTACCCAGACTCACAGGGGTCCTGGCTCAGGTCTACTCCCTCGAAGGTCCCAGATTCACCCCGGACCTGCAGTGGTCTCTGGATCTGACCCACTCACTCAGCAGTTCCTCCTCTGTACCTACATAGAGAGAACTATCCTCCAAAGTAACAAATCAAGGAGGGGTGCCTTGCTACCTTTTGTATACAGTTCTCATGGGCACTGGAGAAAGCTACCCAACTGCTTCATTCTGCAACCATACACTATCATTGAGTTATTTCTGGTTGCGGCTCTGGGCAGCGGTGATGCTCAGCTTAAAGGAGCTGCGGGTGCTGCCCTCCAGTTGGTTTGTCAGTTTTTGTAAAGAAGCCACCTTCCCCCCCCCACTTTTTGAATATGAAAAATAGAGCAACAACAATCAAGCAGCTACACAAAACTACAGACATAAACTAACAGACATGGACAGACTGTGTGCCAAGGACAACCAATGGGAGAGGAGATGGGAGAGAACCAGACGTCCGGCCAGTAGCACCCAGACATTCTTCTGCTACGTCAACCAGGCCCAAGAGGCAGATGAGGCCATGTCCCTGGGGAGATCATATCTTGCGAAATGTTGACCTCTTGGAAATCCTTGAAATATTGCAAGACAAAGTCTAGAGGTGTAGCGGAAGCCAAAGAAGCTTGTCCCATAATCTCAAAGTATGAAACAAGACAGAGACCGACACAGAAAAGTGAAACAAACAAACAAAAAACAAAACAAAAAAAGCAAACAAAAAACAAACAAACAAAAACCCCAAAGCTAACAGTACCAGGCAGACCGAAAAGACAACACAAAACCCACAAAAACACTTAGGGGAAGATGCAAAACCATAACCAGGTGTTCCTCCAATGGGAACAGAGAGGACGTGAAGCATCACCTGTCCTCTGACCCTTGGAGCAATACTGCATCCAGTTTCTCCTTTGGGTCCAGAGAGGTACCAACCAGAAACCAGAAGTCAAAAGCTTGACTTACCTCCAGAGGTCACAGGTACAGCCAAATCAGTCTTGGGGGCCTCTGTGGACAGGCATCCGGACTCCCACCCAATGTACCAAAATGTGGTTCAAGGCTCTGAATCAACCCAAACAGACATAGGAGGTTTCTGCAAGGCAAGATTTAGTGCAGGGCAACACAGAAGAAGAGGGAAGGGGGTGACCGATTAGGGCCACAGAACAGACTCAGGAGCTGACCTGTGACCCCCCCCCCACACACAAGGTCTATAGTTTAAAGAGGAGGCGGGTTAACTGTTGGAAGGTTCCCAGTTCCCCTAGGAACTTGGGTCCAGAGAGGCGCCAACCAGAAACCAGAAGCCAAAAGCTTGACCTACCTCCAGAGGTCACAGGTACAGTCAAATCAGCCTTGGGGGCCTCTGTGGACAGGCATTCGGTCTCCCTAGGAACTTGGGAATCTTAACTTTGTTTCACCCTACAGGTAAAATGGAGTCTGAAGCCAAAATGGCAGCGCTTAGGACAAGGTGCTTTTTGCCTGTTCCCAACAAAGAAAGGTCCAGGTCCGTCCGTCCTCTGGATAAGCACAGAGTTAAGTGTGTGCCAGACAACTTGATGCCACTCCCTTAAACCTCAACTCCCCCACCATCCACGGGTGCCCCAAATATGGCAGAGCTTGCCACATCTGTGCCACGCCTTGAGGGCCCAGACACCTTCCCTCAGTCTTGCTTGTCCCCACAACACTTATTCCTTGGCCCACGTAGTCTCTGTAGGTGCCTCAGAATAGAGCTGCATGG